ACAGACACATAGATCAATGGAACAGAATAGAGAGCCCAGAAATGGACCCTGAACTCTAGGGTCAACTAATCTTCAACAAAGCAGGAAAGAATGTCCAATGGAAAAGACAGTCTCTTCAACAAATGGTGTTGGGAAAATTGGACAGCCACATGCAGAAGAATGAAAATGAACCATTTCCTTACACCACACACAAAAATAGACTCAAAATGGTTGAAAGACCTAATGTGAGACAGGAATCCATCAAAATCCTAGAGGAAAACACAGGCAGCAACCTCTTCGACCTCAGCCGCAGCAACTTCTTCCTAGAAACATTGCCAAAGGCAAGGGAAGCAAGGGCAAAAATGAACTATTAGGACTTCATCAAGATAAAAAGCTTTTGCACAGCACAAGAAACAGGCCATAAAACCAAAAGACAACCGACAGAATGGGAGAAGATATTGCAAATGACATCAGATAAAGGGTAGCATCCACAATCTATAAAGAACTTATCAAACTCAACACCCAAAGAACTACTAATCTAATCAAGAAATGGGCAGAAGACATGAACAGACCTGCAAATGGCCAACAGACACATGAAAAAGTGCTCAACATCGCTCGGCATCAGGGAAATTCAAATCAAAACCTCAATGAGATACCACCTCACACCAGTCAGAATGGCTAAAATTAACAAGTCAGAAAATGACAGTTGTTGGCGGGGATGCGGAGAAAAGGGAACCCTCCTACACTGTTGGTGGGAATGCAAGCTGGTGTAGCCACTCTGGAAAACAGTATGGAGGTTCCTAAAAAAGTTGAAAATAGAGCTCCCCTATAACCCAGCAATTGCACTACTGTGTATTTAACCCAAAGATACAAATGTAGTGACCCAAAAGGGTACATGCACCCCAATGTTTATAGCGGCAATGTCCACAATAGCCAAACTATGGAAAGAGCCAAGATGTCCATCAACAGATGAATGGATAAAGAAGATGTGATATATATACACAATGGAATATTATGCAGCCATCAAAAAAATGAAATCTTGCCATTTGCGACAACATAGATGGAACTAGAGGGTATTATGCTAAGTGAAATAAGTCAATCAGGGAAAGACATATATCATATGATCTCACTGATATGAGGAATTCTTAATCTCAGGATACAAACTGAGAGTTGCTGGAATGGTGGGGGTGGGAGGGATGGGGTGGTTGGGTGATAGACAACGGGGAGGGTATGGGCTATGGTGAGCTCTGTGAATTGTGTAAGACTGTTGAATCATAGATCTGTACCTCTGAAACAAATAATACATTATATGTTAAAAAAAAAAAAAGATAGTAGGAAGGGAAAAATGAAGGGGGGGAATCAGAGGGGGAGACAAACCATGACAGACTATGGACTCTGAGAAACAAACTGAGGGTTCTAGCAGGGGAGGGGCGTGGGACGATGGGTTAGCCTGGTGATGGATATTAAAGAGGGCATATATTGAATGGAGCACTGGGTATTATACGCAAACAATGAATCATCCAACACTACATCAAAAACTAATGATGTAATGTATGGTGATTAACATAACATAATAAAATAAAATTTTTAAAAAAAGGTGATACAGCATAAAAACTGTTAAACTTTCAGGTGAACAAGTTCTGTAGATCAGTAGGCTGTAGAAGAATACCTCCTTAAGATATTCTTTAAAATCACCTCCTAAATTTTATACAGGAAAAGTGTATCAGAAAAAGAAGGATTTTAATGCTGATGAGACAGGCTTATTTTTTTAAGGATATTGGCAAACAAACATATATGTTGTAAATGGCATTTCTGTTGACAAAAATATTGTGATCAGAGGTTGTTGAAATCTGTGTATTTCCCCTCAGAGCAATAGTTCTGCAACTATTAATTCAGTATTCATAACAACTTTGTAGAAAACTACCACAAATAACAAGAATCACTGTGTATCATAGAACCCTATAAAATTGCTATGGTTTGTAATGCCACACTTTTCTGTTATACCAGGAAATAAGAATTACCTAGGAATTCCTGTCAGAATGCAATAGAATAAGAAAAACTTAAAATGACTGTAAAGGAGAAATCAAAATTTTTATTATGTGCAGAGTATATTGTTTGTATCTCAAAATCTAAGCTAATCAATGAAAAAGTTATTAAAAATAATGAGAGTTCAGTAATTTTTTTTGAATACAAGGTAATTTTATGTTTATAAAATTCAATGTCACTTATTTAATTAAGCAATTATGTGTTAAGAAACAAAATAAAAATAAAGTAACTTTAATGTCAATATAAATGCAAATATGAATATTTTTTAACAAAATAAAGTCTCTTGCCATTTACAAAAACTCCACAAACCTTTACTAAATCTTTCAGAAAAGAAAAACAATGAAAAAATTCAGCAGATATAGTGACAAAAAGACTTTTCAAAATGGATTCCTAAATTTACAGTTATTTTAGTTAAAAATTTTTAATAAAGTTTTGAGATTCATATAAAATTAATCTGAAATATCCTGGTAGAATAAATGAGCAAGAATTGCTATGAACACTTTGAAAAATGGAGATTCAGTCAGAGAGGTAGGTTGTAGATAATCTCAACAGAACAACACAAAAAAACAGAAGACTATAAGAATAATATAAATATGAAGACAATAAAAATAACAATGGATATAACTGAAAAAATCTTCTATTTATTATTAAAAATTTGTCCCCTTTGGAATTCCCATCATGCAGTTAACAGACTCCTACAGAACTCCTTAGTGTCCTTTGAGTCCAGGGCATTAACAAGCTAGCCCCAGGGCAATATGTTGCTCTATGCCTCTCATAAACCATAAATTTCAGTGTTTGGAGCGGATTCTATGCCTCCTTCCTTCCATTTTACACATCCTATCATTTCTCTCACCTGCATAAAACACCCTGCTCTTTCTTTTGTTTCACAGGGCATAGTTATCTATGTAAATCCTAGTCACTAGCCCTCATTCACTAGATATTTCAGGACCTGACTCAGCTTTCCTAAGAACCAAGGGCATCCAGGATGGCTTTAATTTCCAAAAAGATGATCTGCTTAACATCCTAGCCTTTCAATTCCTTTTTCTCCTCTTCTCCATTAAATATCTACTTTTGTCAAAGAAAATCTGTAACACAGAATTAAACAGGCAAGGAAGACTTTATTCAAGACTATTGCAACAGAAATCAAGACTTTAGCAACAGAGGAAAGAACTCAATTCCTCTGAAACAAAGGGCAAGAGAGTTTTTAAGCACACAGGGGGAGGTGAGAGACTATTTGAAAAATACTGGAGAACACTGGGAGTTGTGGGTGTTTGTCAATGCAATTAGGTCATCTGTTTTTGCTAATTAGTTCTTGAGAAAGTTAGGTTCCTATCTACCCACAGAGACTAGGAGATAGGGATTCTATCTTTCTTGATGATTATATTTCAAAGAGATAGCTCCTAATATTCTGGGAAAGACATTTCTGGATTGTAAAACTGGCAAGTGATTGGCAGATTTATATCTCAAAGGAGTGAAGAAGAATTTATAATTGCAAGTTTTCCAAAGTAAATGCCCTCAGAAAAGGGGGATCAAAGGCATACAGTCACAAAGAAACCTGTTTAAATTTTAGTCAAGCTGAGAGAAATGTTAAGGACTTTTTGGTCATTCTACTATGACTATAGTTAGAGCTAAATTTGTCTGAACTAGTCTTGCATTCGGGGGTTATGCCAGTACAGTAAGTTGGCATATAAGGAAACAAAAGCCTCATACAGCCCAGAAATAGCCTCAGTTACAGGAGAAAGAGGCCATATTCCATGCCAACCATAAGAGGTTCACACAGTCCCTCAGAAGGTTACACAGCCCTCGTACTTTCATACTTTCCTTGTCCATTACTCTTCCTTCTTCTGGAGGTTTTGAACTATAGCTGTTATTTTTGTCTTAATGTATGTTCATTATAAATTCTATCTCCTTAACTGTAAAATGAGAAAGATGTTGTACCCGTTTAAATACTAATCAGCTTGAAGGTCAAGGAAGCCTTTTTTTGGTGGGTAGGAAAGGTGGCTGAAGAACGACCATATTTTTTATTCTTCTGTATTTTTTAATTGGATCTTTTTAAAGGAAAATCTGTAGGCATAGCACCAAAATGAGAGATAGGAACCTAGCCTTCATCAAGTGTTGCTCTGTGATTTCCAATTTTAGTTAAAATTGCTCACTGCTTTAAAGTACCATCAGAGATAATGCCTGCACCATAGTTTTTGATCCTTAGATAATGGCTTCTTCCAAACTACAGAATAGCAACTTTACTAATCTTCAAATATTATTCTTTTCCAGGCTGTGACAAAGACATGCTGATCAACATTCTAACTCAACGCTGTAATGCACAAAGGCTGATGATTGCAGAGGCATACCAGAGCATGTATGGCCGGGTAGGGTCTCTTCATCTTGACCTGTTTCTAGGGCAAACTCCTGGGAAATCACAATCCTTTCACAAAACAGATACTGTTATTCTTTTCAGTCTCACGGATGACAAAGATCTCAGACTCCACTGTATGTCAGAAACAGTTCCTATGCCTCTACCATGTTTCAAGGAATGTAAGAAAGATGTATCTATGTGTGAGGTATGTTCACACAGTGACTCCATCAGTCCTCTCTCAAAAATCATTCAGCTCCATAAAATGAAAGTTCTGATAGTCTTACACTGCTAGTTGGTTCCAATTAGGCTAAAAATGTTGTGCTGGAAACACCCCTGTGTCAAGCTTTAGGGAAGGCATAGAAAGGGCTAATGATCACTAGGTCAAAAAAATAAGATCTTTCCTGCAATTCTCCACAGGTCTTCACCTAACTCTCAACCAAAGTGAATTCTGACTAGCTTTTCTTCTCACAGCATGCAGTTGTAGAGACCATTAAAAAAGAATGGCAGTTAAAGGCAATAGTTTAAGGCAATAAAACTATCCATAGTGCTTTAAAGTAATCACATTCTAATTTCAAAGCAAGTACCATTAAAGATTCCTTTCTTTTGTTATGCATTTAAACCACAGATTCCGAACAAAAACTCTTCAGGCCAAAAGGGCCTGAAATAGCAATTACTTTGTCAACTGAGCATTATTGATGAAACACTATCATAAAACTTTCCCTATAGAGTTAGCTCTTATAAATTCACTCCATCTCTAAACCTCAGTCTTTGAACAGCTATAATACATGAAATAAGGATAGCTCTCTGTTGTAGAATAAATTAATAATCGAAGAAGCTACCACTACTAGTTATATTATTTGAATTTAGCCATAAAAGGAAATGAGTTATGCTTTTTTTTTTTTTCAGGTAAAACTGCTATCGTAGCTTATATTCCTATGATACCAGAGCTAGTTTTCTTTTGAAAGAGAACATAAAAACTATAAAAGTTCTAGCATCACTAATCTAATATTGTTTTAATATGCATAGGTCATAAGAATGGTCATTTTTCAGTGTTTTTTTAACCCAAAGGTTTGCATACATCTTTGCACTTTATACATCAGGTTAATTTAGGTTGAAGGCATTACTTTACTATATTCTACAAAATTACACTAAAACAGATTAAAACATTAAGAAATGAGGTACTTACACTCAAAGAATGTAAAATACATGGAACAATTTATACTCTCAGAGGTCTCAAAGTTTGTTAAACTCTACCTTCTGTTGAACAATCCATATTGCATGGAAATCTTGGCTAACAACACAATCTCACCAATGGAAGACAATGAGTCATGCTGGCCCCTTTCCTCCAAAATATCCTTGTCATACAGTCAGTTATCAAGTCTTGAAAATTATTTTTCCTCTCACATTTCTCTCTTCTTCTCTCACTTAACGCAGTCTTGATTCATTTGGTACCCAGACTAATGTGAAACTTATAACTGGTACCTGCTACCTGCATGCCTTCCCACTCTGGTCTAGCCTCCACACTGAAGCCAGAATGATTCCAAAACTAGATTTCTGCTTCCCTCATCCGGTTCCTGAATGTTTATCTTATTTCTGCCTCACAAATATCCACAGGTCCATGGAATAAGCCAATACCTTCCCAGAGCATACAAAGCCTTGCTTACCTTGTTTCTGTTCTCCATTTTATTCCCTCTCCCCCTTCACACACCATCGACTGCAGCCAAACTGAACTACTTGTACTTCTACAAATTAACTGTGCCTGCTCCCTTAACTTTAATCAGGGTGTTTTATCTATTTCTTTTTTTTTTAAAGATTTTATTTATTTATTTGAGAGAGAGAATGAGAGATAGAAAGCACGAGAGGGAAGAGGGTCAGAGGGAGAAGCAGACTCC